TTTTATTTTTATTAAGAGGACTAGATTTACAAGCAGAAGAGGCAACCTATTACACAAATCAACGTTTTTACCAACAGTACTCGAAATACGCAACTGGGCTGCTTCTTGTTCCTTCTTCAGGTGATTAACGACCGATATAGAAAACAAATTATATATACCAGATTTACAGGAAGCCAGACAGACAGACAGACAGATTGTTTATTATAAGTCTAAACTCATTTACAGATATTAAAACAATATAAAATAGAAACATAAGATGAGCCATCCTTAAAAGGATTATGAGAGACTATTTACACATAAAATTATACAGAATATAAATATAATGATATATCATATAATAAAATTTACATATGTTGACAGGCTAATGGTAAAGTTGGCGGCGTCGTTCCTTTAAATCATCAAAGCAGGTCTTGGCTGTTAATTTACTTAAACAAGGACTAGACATTATAAACAAACACTTTTCCACATCTGTAAAATTTATAAAGTTACTGTCTAGAAATTGGCACTTATCCAGCAAACATTTTGTGATAGACTGATATAAAGGACATAATAAAAGTACATGTAGTTCATCTTCAACACGGTCAAACAATTAAAACACATCCTCTCATCCACAGGCATATTATTAAAACGTCCAGTTTCTATTAGTAAGGGGGCAACTCTGCATTTGGACATAGCTAACGCTCTTCTGTGTCCTCGTGGTATGTGTTCTGTAGCATAATGCTCTGCTCCATAGTCTATCTTAAAGGCTCTGTATAGTCGAAGTTTATTACCTCCCTTGTCATCTCGACCAGTCGGACAATCTATTTTCTTTTTCCATTCATTAAAACATTTTTCGTGTACTGCTTCCTGGACTGTGTGCACAATTTCCTTCCTCCGTAATCCATTATCAACTTCTGTCAAATCAGTCAAGTCTAGTGATGACAGTTGTAGGTGTAAGCGCTTTGTCCAGGTTTTTTTTTTCTTGAAGCCATCTGTTTTGTCCAGTTAAAAATCTTATAAGTTAGTCTGTCTGGGTTTAAGCAAGTAAGTCTAGTGTACATTCTCATGAGAGAGCCCCAGAGTTTCACTGGTGTAGGTGTCCATCCCATGTCGCCTGTCACTGCAGCGTTGGGGGTAGATTTCCGCACTCCCATATGGAATTTCATAGCTCTGTTTTGTATAGTCGTTGCGTATGTCAACGCGTGGTTACGCGTCGACTGGGGAATTAGCTCATAATTAAGATGAAGTGTGCGTTGATGAAGACGAAGGCATAGTTGAGTTCAAACGTCTTTAGTACATGACAAACAAATACACAAGACATGAGCGAGGTGAGCGGAGTACCTGCTCAACCACAGGGCGTTTCCTACGAGCGGCATTATCCTGCTCGTGGTCGTCCCAACAGACAGTCGGAATACCGAACTCGTACTCCTTCACTGTCTAGATGTGAGCATACTAAGTATATATACAGTTTTTGACAACAATGGACAGGCGACGACTCATCAATGGACAGACAGAAAGACAATAGCACTTCCTTGACCAGTTGATGTGATGGCAGACACGGCCAAGGGGGATTACCAATGAAGGTTATAAATGTCTTATACAATAATTAATGGGCAGACAAGTCAATTTACAATGCGGTAGTGATAAGGATGTACAATAGTGATTAAAACTACAGCTTAGCGTGATATATATATTACAATAAAGTCTCACATGTCTTGAGTACATAGTTTTGGACTTTTTAAATATTTGGACGATGGCTGTCCTGAATTAGTCCCTATAACACGTATGTAGAGTTTGAGGTCCCCAAAATCGCTGCTCCGTAGTCAACTGTCGACCAGACCATGGCGTCAAAGAGTTTCCTGTATGTGGTGTAGTGCATACCGCCCATGGACTTGAATTTAGAAATCAGTAGACCCAGCGCTCGACCAGACGAACTAGCTACAAGCTTGGCCATCCTTGCGTAGTCTAAGTGTTCTGTTATCAATAGGCCTAAATAACAGTAACTGTCCGTTAGCTCTAGTGACGTAGGACCACACTGAAAAACACAAGTCGTTCTTGGCATATTTACAGGTCTACAGTGTAGAACTTTTGATTTATCCGAGTTTACAGTCATGAAATTGTTCTCACACCAGTTGTGTAAAATGTCTAAAAGTACTTTTCCGCTTCATCTTCAGCTAACAGGACCAGATTGTCTGCATAAGCTGGCACAGTCAGTGTTTCGTCAATAAACTTCACATATTGAAACTCTTTATGGTAGTTATCAAATCATTGACGTAGACGTTGAATAGCAGAGGGGAGAGAAGGCATCCTTGTTTAAGCCCCCACTTGACGTTAAACCATTCAGTCATATGTCCATTTATTCTGACACAACTCTTCACACTCTTGTAAAGGGAGATAATAGCTTCATACGTCTTTCCAAAGATTCCAAGATCAGACAGTTTTCTCCACAATATAGACCTATCAATATTATCATAAGCCTTTCTAAAATCGATGAATGCTAAAAACGTCGATTTCTTTAAAGATTTCCGAGTTTCCACTGTGGATGTGAGTGATGATATATACTGAGTCAAAAAAGAAACTTCACAAAATGTAATTTGAAAATAATGAATAATTTTTCTCTGATGATACATCTATGTATCCGAAATGGGATCCCTATCTTTCGAGATGTTTAGAGGTCGACTGTCCTCACAGACCATTCGAAATCGGTTGCGGGCTGCCAATCTCCATTCTCGACGTCCATATCGTGGGCCAATATTGACGCCGTTTCATCAACGTCAACGTCTGCCGTGGGCCCAACGTCACCTCCGATGGACCCAGAGAGACTGGAATCGAGTCGTCTTTAGCGATGAATCCAGGTTTACCCTCAGATTCGCGGACGGCAGGCATAGAGTCTGGAGAACGGTATGCCCAATGTTGTGTACAGGAAGTCGACAGATTCGTTGGCGGAAGTTGCATGGCGTGGGGTGCTTTCTGTGGGAACAACCGTTCCCGACTTCTGGTCATCCGTGGAAACCTCACAGCTGCTGCTTACCGCGACCAGGTGCTCACCCCTGAACTCGTTCCTTTCATGGCGACTCATGGCCCAGGTCTACAGTTCCAGCATGATAATGCTCGGCCGCATACAGCGATGTTGACACGAAATTTCCTTAAAAAACGCTGGAATCAACGTCATGGACTGGCCATCGAGGTCCCCTGACCTTAATCCAATAGAGCACGTTTGGAATGCACTTGGGAGAAGGCTTCGTGGTCTTAGGAACCAACCTCAGAATTTGCAGGAACTTGGCGCTGCCTTGCAAGAGCAATGGCGCAGAATCCCCAACCACGTGTTCACAAGCATCAGGCAGTCGATGAGGAGACGGTGTTTGGCAGTGGTGAATGCGCGGGGCGGCCATACACGATATTGAACTGAGACATTTCGCATTTTTATTCTTGTGACTTGACATTCTGTATACCCATGTTTTGGAACGGCGGTGTAGCCTAATGGAACTGATTATGGCACTGTCAGTGTATCGAGTACATCACACAGATCTCAGCAATGAAATAATAACAATTTAACCATCTTACCATCTCTTGTTCTTTTATAGTGCCCTGAAGAAAGAATGTGAAGTTTCTTTTTTTGACTCAGTATATGTTCTACTGTGGACCTGCCCCTCCTGAAACCGTTCTGCTCCTCAGCTATGCAGTCCCTGGTTTCTGTATACTTGTACAGTCTTGTATTCAGCACCGAACAGTACAGTTTATAGCTTGAATTTGTCAAGGAGATACCTCTTGATGATAAAGGGTCATATTTATCAGCACATGATAGGATTGATGATATATATCCATGACATATATACATGTATATACAATCAATCACAGCGTACCGGTGTAAAAGCAGTTAAAACAACAATGATATTTGAGATAAGGTAACGCCAGTGACACCAATACAAATAGTGAGGATAAAGGGATGTGAATACAGTAGAGTGATGTACAGCTAATTAGGTGACGATTAGATTTGCCGGAAGCCAGATATGTACATGTGAGGTGAGGTGAAATTGGGTTTTACGTGGTGGTTGAGAATATTTCGCTCATATGACGACGTGCATGCGTGTGTATGTGTATGTGCGGCTGCTTGTACCAGTCCAGACACAAGCTGGTTTTATAGTGCCAGCTCACTGAGATACCATGCCGCAGGGAAGCATGAATACCCCACTCAGACACATTATACTGACTCCGAGCCGACCAGTCCTTGTTGTACCCATTAATGCCGAGCGCCAGGCAGGGACCAAGTACCATAATTTAACGTCTTTTGGTATGACACGGTCGGGGATCGAACCCGCGACCTTCCGCTCTCCGGGCGGACGCTCTAACCACTACACCACGGAGGCGGTCAGAGATGTACATGTATATACCTCAATCATTGAGGCAAGATCAAAAAGAAGTTATAAAAACAATGATAATTAAGATAAGGTAAAGCCAGTTGACACAAACAATGGGGATAAGGAAATGTGAACACAGCAGGGTGATGTACAACTGATTAAGTGACAATAGAGGTGGGTATGGTGCGGCTTTTGTGATGTTTCAGGCACTAGGGAGGTATACACCTTGATCTCTGTTAATCTCTGGGTTTAATCTCCTTATGTTGATGGCTTCTAATATTTTCCGTTTTCGCCAATCGTGAACATTGGTAGCCAAGATGCTAACACAAATTCATGTAATTTTAAATTTTAAAACACCAAACAACTCTGTATACTTTCTTTTGTTTTTCAGTTGAAAACATTGTAGGTCTACGAAAGAAATTCGCCAACTTCAAAAAAGGTATGAAAAAAAGGTGGAGAACGAATTGAAATTGTTTTGAACACCATAGTGGCGACATTCGCATGGAACTTAATTAAACACTCCCGTATATATTTCATCATAGTGATGTAGCTGGCGCTGATGATGACGTGTCAACGATACCATTGTTAGTAGCACATTTCAGATAATAAAACACGAGATTTCAGTTTGAAAGTGTTGCCAAAACGCAGCCCACATCCATGTGAAGCATGCTATGTATGCTAGGTAATATAAACGAATGTAACAACTACAGACCTGTAGCACTAACTAGTTGTTTAACCAAACTATTTGAAAAATGTGTTTTCAAATATCTATTTAATTATCTCAGAGACAATAACTTACTAACAAATCTTCAGTCCGGGTTTACCCCTGGAGATTCACGTCCTACCAATTGACTTACCTTTATGATTATATTGCTAAAGAATTACATAAAGGGAAGGGAATAAGAGAAGTTTTTTGCGACATAAGCAAAGCATTCTATAAAGTATGGCACAGAGGAATCATTCAGAAATTGAAAGCTTACGGTATTTGTGGCAAACTACTTTTATGGTTTAAAAGTTACCTCGAAGATAGAAGACAGCGTGTCGTAATCAACGGCTTCAGTTCCAATTTAAAACCAGTTACAGCTGTCGTCCCACAAGGTTCCGTCTTAGGACCGCTATTATTTTTAGTTTATATCAACGATATTGTCGATGACATTGACAGTGATACGTCTGTTTGCTGATGACACTTCGCTCTATGTAGTAATAAACGATCCGAATGTAGCAGCACAATGTCTGAATAATGATTTATCTGCAATATCAGACTGGGCTAAAAAATGGCAAGTTGATTTTAATCCAAATAAAACGGTCTCTATTCAAATAACCCGAAAACACTTTCAGAATATCAAACCAGTCGTATCGATGGATAGCACTAGGGCTGCGCAATATAACCGGTTTACCGGTATTTACCTGTTCAGACATGAAAACGATACGTATTGCGATACGCTGATAGAAGACCAGTATTTTGACATGCATTCGAAAAACTTCGTAACACTCGGAAATCTTCGGATATTTCCGTTTTTGTAATTGTTCTTTTCCCTGTTTCATTAGTGCCAAATGTTACTTACATTTTTATTTTGTCATGATTAAAAGTTTCTATAAAAGGTTAATCAATCATAGTGATTTTGTTGTGTTTTTGCTTTATAATCAAGCATTAACTCGATTATAAGAAGTTTTTGTTAAAAAATAATCCTTGCAATATATTGCAATAAATATCGCAATATACGCTTCCGCATCGCAATATATCGCAATATGAAAATTCTCTGCAATACCCACCCCTAGATAACACTAACATAAATGACGTCACATCTCACAAACATTTGGGAATTTTGGGATAGTACTTCAACAAGAATGTATGTGGCATAGTCAAATCGAAAACGTCATAAAAACGTCAGTCCAATGATAAACTGCCTAAGAAGTTTTAAATATTCAACAGGAAAACGCTGCTAACAATGTACAAATAATTTATTTTACCAATATTCGACTACGCGTGTCATGAATGGGATAATTGCACTAAAGAGCAGACGCTTCTTCTAGAGAAATTACATCTAGACGCTATCAGAACTATCTGCGGAGCTGTTCGCGGCACAAGTCATAATAAACTATATTCTGAGACAAATATTTCTTCACTTGAAAATAGAAGACGCCGTCAAAAATTATACATATTATAAAATGGTTAACAAACTAGTTCCAGATTATTTGTCTAGTTTAGTTCCAGAAAAAGTATCGTCTGTAAGTGGATATAATTTGAGAAATAATTCTGACCTACAAAATATTAAATGAAATACTAGTGTTACGCAGCAGTGGAAGACTTAAAAATAACTCAACAATTTTCAAAGTTCACTGTAAGTTTACTTATAGAAACATGAACCAACGAAATATTTCAACGGCACTATATATAGCAATATGTCCTAATTTGACATAACACGACACGGTCCTTATGTGACCACCGAAACCATCATATGGTCCAATTGAAAGTCCTTATTTGACTTCTTACTATTATGCCCTGATTTGGCACAAAAAGAGACAGTCGCCGACAGCGTGGCTGCTCTATCGAAAAACAAAAACGAACTGCCTAGTTCAGTGACAAATGTACACTGTCGCAAGCTATTGCGCAATTCTGCACGTGGTTCACGCACGGCTATCCAGCTCTTTTGAAGTGGTGCGTTCGTGCGAATGTTTGGGTTTGTTCGGACCTTCTGTCCATTCCCCCCACTATGATAACTTCGTGTCTATCATAATTCTACAACATTCATTACAATGTAATTCAAACAACAAATATTCACATTTCACATGTTCTGAACCTGAAAAATAAAAAAAATGTCAGTTCAAAGTTCACACTCATTCTGAAAAGAAACACCATGAGTCCTCTCTGAAATTAAAAATCACACATTTTCACATGAAATCAAATCCTTGAAACGCACACATGTTCCTGTGAATGTCAATGAAATGTCTAATATACATACAATATTGTCCTTTCTGTTCCTCTTCTCTATTCAGTCCTCTTCTCTTTTCGATCCCCTGTTTTCTATCCTGTTGTCTGTTCTGTTCCATCCTGTTGTCTGTTCTGTTCCATCCTGTTGTCTGTTCTGTTCCATCCTGTTGTCTGTTCTGTTCCATCCTGTTGTCTGCTTTGTTCCATGTCTCCATTCCAAAGGACATACTTTTGTAACTGGTCTAGTAACTATGGCTTTGTCTGTTTTAATGTCCACAACTCTCACGTGGCCATCTGTTCCTGGATATGTTCTTGTGATGATCCCAAGCTTCCAACTTCCTCGAGGTGCCTCTGGTGATATAATGGTAACCACGTCATCCACTTGTAGATCACGGTTGGGTGAAAACCATTTCCTTCTTGTCTGTAATGATGGCAACCACTCCTTCATCCAGCGCCTCCAGACATGACGCACAAGTTCCTGTACTCTTCTCCACCTCTTCATCGGACTGTAAGCCGTGACATCCACAGAATCCGGAGCAAATATCCCCCCACTTTGACCATGTAAAAAATGGTTTGGTGTCAAAGGCACGTCATCATGTGGGTGAGCACTTTGATATGTCAAAGGGCGGGAGTTTATTAGACCTTCAGCACCAACAAACGCTGTCACCAGCTCCTCATCTGTTATATCTCCAGATCCCAGAATGGCATATATAGCTCGCTTGGCAGCCTTAATCATTGACTCAAACACTCCACCGAAGTTGGGAGCATGAGGAGGATTTAACTTCCAGATCACCCCTCTATTGGCCAATGATGACTTAACTTTGTCTGTATCCAGTTGAGCAACAAGCTGTTTCAGTTCATTTGCAGCGCCAATGAAATTTGTGCCATTATCTGAAAGAATTTCTTTGGGTAACCCTCGTCTACTAGCCATCCTGTAGAACGCATTCAGAAAGGAGTCACTGTCCAATGCATACGACATCTCCAAATGTACTGCTCTTGTTGCTAAGCAAGTGAAGAGGCACAAATAGCGTTTTTGCCTCGACTTTCCACGTCCCTGAATCGTAAGAAATGGCCCAGCATAGTCAACACCTGTCTGCTCAAAAGCTCTAAGCGAGTACCTCAAACGCATCTTTGGCAGTGGCGCCATTATTTGAGCTGTTGGTTTTGCCTTTTGTCGGCGACAATGTGAACATTCCCGTTCCCATTCGCGGATCTCCTCACGACCAGCAATTATCCAAAAACGAGATGACAAGACAGCAAGCATGTGATTTGTACCAATAACATGATTGCCGTCCTCATGATGTTTTTTTAACAATCAACTTAGTCACCCAGTGTTTTCTAGGCAAAATGATTGGGAACTTTGTTTGGAACGGCAAATACTCTGCATGTTTGAGTCTGCCATCAGACCTAAGCAGACCATCATCATCCAGAACAGGATGAAGATTAATGAGTTTGCTACCTTTGGAAATGGGTTTTCTATTTGCTATTGCCAAATATTCCTCAGAGAATGCATCTGTGCATTACAAATGATGCGTTTTTCAGCATCAGCAATTTCTTCTGTGGTTAAGCAACCCTTCTTTCTTTCAGCTGATTTAACAGAGGCATTGCTGAGAAATCTGTACACCCATGCAGTAATGCGTGTATACCTTTTCCAGTCTGAAAACCTAGTAGGTTCCAATAACCAAACTGAATCTGAGATTGTCACGAGCGATACAGATTTGTTTTTCAGTTCAGAGTTGTGTGATATTTTGACATGCACTTTTTGTTCTGGCCATTTGTTTTCAGCACATAACAGAAATTCTGGTCCATGCATCCAAGATGCAGAGGACAGTTTTTGAACTGATGTTCCTCTGGTGAGAATATCTGCTGCATTTAACTCTGAAGGAACTTGCTTCCACTGAGAAGTATCAGTGTGCTCCTGAATGAATGCAACGCGGTTGGCTACAAATGACTTAAAGTAACGACTGTGGTTCTTGATCCAACATAATACATTTAGACTATCAGTCCACAGTACTGAACAGGAAGTACTGATTTCAAGGGCACGTGAAACAGCCAACATTAACCGAACTCCCAAAACAGCTGCCATCAACTCCAGCCGAGGAATGGTCACGCTCTTTAAAGGAGCAACCCGACTCTTAGCGGCTACTAGATGACTTGAACTGTCACCGTTTTGGTAAGTGTTCACAAAATATAAGACTGCACCATATGCTTCTTCAGAGGCATCAACAAATACATGCATTTTTGCTGTTTTGATATCAGATTTCACCTGTAAACATCTGGGAAATCGTAATCCATCTAACTGATTTCTCTCTGTGAGCCACTGTGATGCTTCATTTTTCACATCATGATCGAGCACATCATCCCAGTCAATGCCTGACAACCACAGTTTTTGCATGATGATCTTTGCTCTTATGTGAAATGGAGCAACAAAGCCAAGGGGATCAAACAGTTTGGCTAACTCTCTGAGAAAGCCTCTCTTGGTAAGTGACAAGTCCTCTTCTATGATTGGACTACGAAAACTGAAATCATCATTCTGAGCTAACCAGACAAGACCTAATGTTTTTGCTGATGGTAACTCATCCTTGTCCAAGTTGACCTCAGATGCTCTATCTTCAACAGGTATGTGTTTGAGGACCTCTGGAGAATTTGATAACCATTTTCTGGATCGCATTCCAGCTTTTCCCCACAAAGCAGTAAGCTGTTTGTACAATTCGATACCATCATCCACTTCTGGAACAGAA